CCAACTGCAGGTAAATAGCTACCAGTTTTTGCTAATGCTATATTTATAGGTTTATCCAACATTACCAAATTTGTAAATACACTTTTATTATTTAGTAAGTGATCCGTACATCATTGATCAATCACAAATTCAAACTTATGTTCTGTTTCACTATTAATTTTATTTTTAATCATTTCGCTTATAAAACATACCTAAGGCACTTAAGTAGTTATTTCAGTAATCTTATGTGACAGTTTCTGCTGTTATGTTAAGTTGCTTTTATAAATTTCTCTGTTGTGATGTATGTTTCTCGTACTCCTGTAACCGTTACCTGTATTTAAAACCATCCTGAAAACCTCCTTGAATTTGATTATTGGATCTTTAATTATTTGTAAATTTTACAGGTTCTCTTCGATAACTTGTTGATATTCTTGCTCGACATTCGTTTTTATCTAGCCTAATAGCCTCTCTTTCCACACCCATAACAAGATCTGTCAACATTGAAAAAAACTTGTTTAGCACTAGGGATGGGAAAAACCTACCGGTTTTAACCGAAAACCGGTTTTTTTACTTCGCAATAACCGGTTTTATCGGTTGTTTTTGTGTCCCAGTTATAACCGGTTTTTTATTTTTAAAGTAAAAACCGGTTATTAGGTTATTAGGTTTGTTTCGATTCGGAAATCTACCGTTTAAATTTGTTATCATCACAAAAAATTTGATATTATTTTCAATACGTTTGTATTAAAATTTATTTGATACTTCCCTGTATTGTTTAAAAATTAAATACAAAGAATAAGAAATCCCGGAAATTCGTAATTCTAATTTGATCCCTAAACCATAACAATTAACATCATTTGGTATCGGCACGTATTGGTAACCATAAATCATTCATCCACTCTTAAAATTTTATGTATATATGGTAAATATTATGACCTAAATTAAATTCTGATCTGATGTGAGCCGCCTTTGGTCCCATTAAATTTGAATTATGGGTGTTTGGAATAATACGACCTAATTATTTAAGGTCTTTAACTTTTAAACAGCGTTTCTGCGATTGCCATACCAATAATCACTCTAAATAGTTTCATTTTCATTCTTTCGTTAGTAAACATTTTAACATTTAAACCGCATATTTATAATAGAAGGCGATACTATTGGTTCTTACGTCACATATTTAAAGCATAAACGTGTTTTATTTAAATAGGTAATAATGTTCTTTCGATAGTACTAATTTTGATCATATTGAAATCGAGTCGAATGAAGTATCGCAAGCTAAAGTTCATTGTTAATGTAACCTTGTAACCTATTGGATTAAAAAAACCGAAAACCGGTTTTTGGAAAAACCGGTTTTTTTGGCCGGTTATAACCGCCAGGTTAAACCGTAAGCAAAAAAAAACCGGTATAACCGAAAACCGGTGTTTTGCCAAAAACCGCCATCCCTATTTAGCACCAGTTACTCAACTTGCTCTTTTGCTTAGGCGTATCTGTTCTTTTTTACTCAATTATCTTTTATGTGCATCTTTATATAACAGCATATAAGATGATAAATTTTATACTACCGTGACCACTGTTTTATAGGATTTTGGCAAAGGTAACAATAAATTACATATATCTTGGTGTTTAACTTTTACCCCAGTGGCTATTAACTGCCTTATTATTTCCTTAAATATAATAAGAAATCGCTTTAAAGACTTACCCTCTGTTAAGTCCGATTAAAACAATAAACTTGCAGCACATCAAACGATAGAGTGTTTGAGGCACACAAAATGAACGACGGCACGTTGCTCAGAGTCAGAAGAGATGTGGGACTGATTATATAGACAGTTCCACTATTACACAAACTAAAGAAAAATAGGGGAGAAAAAAGTATACAAGATAATAGCTACTAGGGCTAAACCAGAAATATTAAATAAACAGAACAAAGAAACAAATAATAATCTAATTGCCGAAAGGGCGCCACCGAATTTTGACTTTATAGCTTCTAAAAAATTTTCAAAAAAAGGCGAGTAAAAGATTTTGAAATAATTTTAAATATATAGTATGTAGGTTGATAAAGGCTACATTTTAAAATTATTCTGAAATATACAGGGTGTCACAATAAGACGCTGCGTTTCAAAGTTTTTTTTGTTATGGAACACCATGTATTTCATTAGATGTTCTAATTGTCTGCAAAAAATAAGGTATAGTTTTATAAGACTAAAATGTAAAACTTTAAACGAGGACTCATTTAAATAACTGTATATTAGTCGAATGTTTTTCATGATTAATTATTAAACAGTGATTTATAGGGTGTTCAAAATTTGTAGTTTCATTATTGAATGATTCAATGTGTAATATAAACCTTATTTTAAATGGAACACCTTGTATATTAATGAGTTATTAAATTAAATTGTTTTTTCTTTATAACGAATGTCCTATAACTAGGACTCATAGTTTTGACATAATTTAAAATTTTGTTAAACGGAAATCGATTTCAAATATTTATAATTGTTAGTTTCGATTTTTAAACCATCCTATTTATTGATATATTGTTATAAACGAAACCAGTGTAGTTGTAAATACATTTTTTGTAAATAAAATAAAATTTTTATGTCTTTGGATTTGTATTCGTTGAGAATAGGATAATTAGTACTAAAATATGATGAAAAGGAAATAAAAAAATTTGTTTAAAATCTGATGTTTTTTACATTTTCTACGATTCGTCAAATGAAAAGCAACTGCGTAGAGGTTACAGTGTTTATAAAGGACGTAGATATTAACGTTATGTTTAATTTTTTGTATTATCTAAAGTATTAAAACAAGTTTAATATTTAAATAAAAATAAAACTGTAAAATATATTTATTTCTTTGAAGTAATAATAATATATATACCTATAACTTCTTACGTGCTTACGAGCACACACTTTTTTTGAAAACAATTAAATACATAACGAAATGGAAAGAATTTTAATAAAACAAATAATACAAAATAATACAAAACGAATAATGAACATAAATAATACAAAATATTCCAAAACTTACTATAAGTAAAAAATGTTCAGGTATGTAACAGATGTTTAAATTGCTTGCCATCTTGTGCAATACAACAAGCGATTCTATCTTTGAATGATTTATTTACATTATTTAACATAGCAGGATTTATTGAAGCAAACGCGTTGGTAATTCTTAATTTCATGTCATCTCTAATAGTAGGAGTAGCACATACAATATTTTTATTATAACCCTATTTAAAAAATCCATCTTATTTAGTCCTGGTAACCTAGGAGGCCAATTATATGAACCACCTCTACCTATTCATCTGTTTGTAAATTTTCTGTTAAGGTAGTTTCTAACATCACGTAAGAAATGATTAGGAGCTCCCTCCAACTGGAGCCTCATTTTTCTTTGTAGGCTAAGTGGACGGTATAAGCAGTGTCCAAAAATCTTGTTTTAACCAATTTAAGAATTTTGTCCCATTGAGATGTCCATCAAAAAATACGGGCCGATAACGTACTCGCCCTAATGCCGCCCCAAACCTTAACACTCCATCGGTGTTGGCGATCAACAGTACGAAATAAATGTTTATTTTCTAAGTCATAATAATGAAAATTATGTCTATTTTTTACTAGATCATTTTATGAAAAGTTGATTCGTCTATAAATAATACATTTTTAAAAAAATCAGGATCTTCTCCAACTTTATCTAACGTCCATAAACAAAAATTTAAACGGATACCATAATCTTGTTCTGTTCTGTCAAATGCTGGTGAAGTTGAATGTGATACGGATGAAATTGGTTAGTGTTAAGTATTCTACATATACACTAGTTTGACTAATTTATAATTCACCCGAAATTTTTCTTATACATTAAGTTACAGAACTCAGAACACTCTGTACATAGGTATATGGAAGTCTTATGAAACTATACCTTATTTTTTGCTGACAATTAGAAAATAAAATAAAATATAGGGTGTCCCATAAGAAAAAATATAACTTGGATACGCTGCGCTTTATTGGGACGCCCTGTATATTTCAAAATATGTTCAAAATGTTTTAAAATGGAGCCCTTATCAACATTCAAACTATAAATTTTAAATGTTTTTAAAATCTTTTACCGTTTCGTTAGTGGTGACTCACCCTGTATATATGTATGTATATGTACTACTATGCCATATATATATGTATATATGCTATATATATGCTATACTATGCCATATATATATATATATATATATATATATATATATATATATATATATATATATATATATATATATATATATATATATGGCATAGTAGGACAAATTCGTTAACTTCCAGTGCTCAAATCGGTATCAATAAGGTGTTATTATCATTTCGGCCTATCCCAGCCCCATTAGAGACTTGGGCTCATACAAATTCAAACTCAAAAAGTCCAACGAATGTTTACGAAAACTTCACTACAACAGTAGTTAGCGTACAAAGGCACCTGCTTTGGCAGCCGTAAACGAAAACGATATGATAATATCGTTTTTTTTTTACTCTGGGCTATGCGAAATGTGTGAAAGATTAAACGTTTTACACATTTCGCATAGTCCAGAGGATACATAAAACGATATTAATATATCGTTTTCGTTCACAGTCTCCGTTAACCACAGTCCCAGTTAGTTAAAGCCTGTAAAGTGTAAACACATACTAAAAATAGATAACTTGAGAAAGGCACTCTGGCCGAAACAGCTGTATTGATAATAATTTAAAATAAATTTTGTATTGAAAATAATAGTTTTTAGTATTTTTTTGTTAGAATAATAAAAATACTAAGTTCTCAGAAAAAACCGTGTTGAAACTCTGAAACTCGACTTCTGGGCACTCATTTTGGAGCCATTATCAAGAGGGATAGGGTTGCGTTCGACTTCGAGGTCTCAATCGGCCTACTCCCCTCACTCGTGATATACCAGTATCCTGTTCTGTAAAAATACAAGAACCGCAAGCGACACTGATGTCTCAATCTGCCTACTCCTAAGTATCGAGTGACGACCTAAATGGTGTGATCCTACTCTCATTCTACGTCATCCAATTTTAATTAAAAATTCTCATCGGTACATTTTAACGTAATAAAACAAGATAGGAAGAATTCCTAATACTTTCTATACATATTGTATTAAATTGAAAAAATCTGCTAAGGATATTTTCCACAAGTGCAAGAACACCCACAGTCATGACTAAATTTATTGGTCGAATAGGATGTAGTATTAACATGCTTTGGAAGGTTTTTAGCTGTTCGATACCAAGCTCCATTTGTACCGTCTTGTTTCCAATGTGATTGAGTCTTGATTCGTGGTTTATTATTTGAATAGTTGGATTTTATTTCAATTTCATTTTTTTCTGCTGGTAAAATACAAGTACAACAGGCTTTGCCTTTACATGGAAAATTTTTATGGTCCTCGTTTCTGTAAAAAAAAACTATATTTTATTATTATTCGAAACACTCTCAAACACCAATACAAGTGCAATATATATATATATATATATATATATATATATATATATATATATATATATATTTAAATTTTGCTTAAACATTTCAACGTTTCGGCAAATTTGCGATTTTCATAAGCACTTTATTAAACTTTAAACATTACATTTTACAATTAAATTGAATGTTAATACTTTTTTAAAAAGTTTCAACATGGATTAGAAATTGGTATCTGACATTGACAGATGACATCTGGCAGATATCTTAAAATAGGAGTGGTTCATTGTCGTATCTTAAATGTCTGCCATAGTACATTTAAAACAACAACTTAATTTATTAAATTGTGATACATGTTGGAAATATCTTTAATGTCAGTCTTATTATTGATGGAATTTGGATCTTTTTTATGTGAATCATCTCCAATATGCATATTTTGTTGTAATTTTGTTCTTTTTCCAAAATCTGTACATTTTCAAAATCAAAAGAATGTCTATTTTCTAGAGAATGTTTGGCTATTGCTATGCCTTGGTTTGTACACTATGTTTGTGTACAACAATTCTTCTATGTAGGTATCGTTGTGTTTGTCCAATATATGTAGAATTGCAGTCTTTACAATTTATTTTAAAAATAACGTTTGATTGATGGTCTTTATTAACTCTAGGTTTAAATTTTGAAAAATATTTTTCAGATGTTTTTGATGATTTATGTCCAACATTAATATTATACTTTGGAAACATTTTTGGCAGTTGTTCAGAAAATATGTTAATGTATGGTAAGTATATATAGGATTTGTTGGAGTTAGTGCCATTATTATTATTAATATTATTACTATGTATGGTTTGGGTATGTTTTGGTATGGTATTGAAACGCCTTATTAATTTAACTGGTTTTTATAAATTGTACAGAAAAAAACTTTTAATTTATTTGATCATTGCAATTGATACATACAATATTAGATTTAGAATGTCTTTTACAAGTAAATGCACTACATTGTGTACATTTCATAGAGGTATATGACTTGATTTTTTCACTGTAACAATTGCAGCATCTACCACGTTTAGCAGGATTTTCGTCTTTTTGATGGGGTACTGGTTGCTTCGGAAACATCCTGGACAGGAACTCGGTTATATTACGTGGAAGTGTCTTAATTTGTGATAGTGTATGGTGTTCTTCCATCAATTTCATTGCAAGGTTTTTGAGAAAATGTCTCCTTTTATGTGAACCATCTCCAATATGCATATTTTGTTGTAATTTTGTTCTTTTTCCAAAATCTGTACATTTTCAAAATCAAACGAATGTCTATTTTCTAGAGAATGTTTGGCTATTGCTATGCCTTGGTTTGTACACTATGTTTGTGTGCAACAATTCTTCTATGTAGGTATCTTTGTGTTTGTCCAATATATGTAGAATTGCAGTCTTTACAATTTATTAAAAAAAAATGTTTGATTGATGATCTTTATTAACTCTAGGTTTAAATTTTGAAAAATATTTTCCATATGTTTTTGATGATTTATATCCAACATTAATATTATACTTTGGAAACATTTTTGGCAGTTGTTCAGAAAATATGTTAATGTATGGTAAGTATATATAGGATTTGTTGGAGTTAGTGCCATTATTATTATTATTATTACTAGGTATGGTTTGGGTTTGTTTTGGTATGGTATTGGAATTGGATTGGTTTTTGATAGTATAATTTCTTTTTTTAACCTTCGGCCAGGCGCGCCCTAAATAATTACATCATCAGGCGCGCCGCAGCGATTTGCTGCCATGTAGTTTCTTATTATTTTCGACACTTTTAATGATTGATTAACTGTATCGTTATTTATTTTGTCAAAAAATAAGAACGCTTTATTAATTTAACTAGTTTTTATAAATTGTACAGAAAAAAACTTTTAATTTATTTGATCATTGCAATTGATACATACAATATTAGATTTAGAATGTCTTTTACAAGTGAATGCACTACATTGTGTACATTTCATAGAGGTATATGACTTGATTTTTTCACTGTAACAATTGCAGCATCTACCACGTTTAGCAGGATTTTCGTCTTCTTGATGGGGTACTGGTTGCTTCGGAAACATCCTGGACAGGAACTCGGTTATATTACGTGGAAGTGTTTTAATTTGTGATCGTGTATGAAGGTGTTCTTTCATCAAGTTCATTGCAAGGTTTTTGAGAAAATGTCTCCTTTTGAGTGATTTTCCAAAATTTGCAGCTTAATGTAGAACAAAAGCATTTATGCCTCCAATATTCATTAAATTATAGAATATAACACACGGCCACCTTTTAGTAATCCGTGAAACACTGTATGATAAACATTATTTATCTACAGTATCAACTCCTTCTTTTGTTTTATTGTAATTTAAAATCAACTGTGGTTTCTTAGTATCCATGTCAACTGTACTTTCGTTGTGCATAGACGATAATAATATGACTGACTTACTTTTACGGAGCATGTAAGAGGTAATTATATAATCTTTTTGAAATGCAAATATGCTAGATTAAACTGCGCTTGATTTATGTGGAAGAAATTCTTGAGGAATTTCTCTTTTGTTCTTCTTTAGCGTCCCTAGCAGAGTAATTTCTTCTGCAGCAAATATATAGCTAACGGAATACTAGTATTAAAATTATCTATTGTTATGTTTCTTCTTGTCATTTCTACGGACTCTATTAGACGTTTTACAACGTCAAAGGCCGAATTTGATACGTCGTATGAGTCACTTGACTGTTTACCGCAATATATCTCTAAATTGGCGGTATAAAATGTTTGAGCATCACATAACGCGAACATTTTTATACCGTACTTAGCAGCTTTATTGGGTATATATTGTATTCAGCTACACCTACCTCTAAAGGGATGGTGCATTTCATCAATTGTTGTATACTCTGACAAATTGTTTGAGTTTTAATAATTTTTTATAAATCTGTCTAAGGATTAACCGATAAGGGAATTTTAAAATATCACGTACATAGCGTATTCCGTTAACACTTTACCTGGAAATATTGAGTTTACGCAGCAAATTACTGCGGCGCGCCCGGCTGAAGGTTAATAAGAGGGTTATAAAATTCTGGTGGATATTTATTTTTTTTAAGATATCTTTACTTTTCTTAAATTTTCGGAATGGTACTGTGGACTAGATAGTTTAATTGCTCTGTCAGTAAAACTGAACACAAAATCTCTTTTATGGGCTATGGGTGCATTGGTATTAAAATTTAAATATCTTCCGTATCAAATATCTTTTGTTAACCAGTTAGTTGTTATCATTCGGTTAGTGTTGTTATATTCTAAACTTAAATCAAGAAAGGTAATTTTATGGCTTTTAACTATGTATGTTGTACTTCAATATAGAGATGATTGTTGTTCCTAATATTTCAATTACTAAGTTTGCCATTTGTGCTGAGATAGGTGAACTCATGGCCACTCCAGAAATCTGATTATAGTATTCATATTCATGTTGAAAAAACGTTGAATTGAGGAAGAATTTTACACCCTCTACGGATTCTTCAAGGAATTCTTCATTTAAGAGAATTTAGAAGAAATTAGCAAATGTTTCACATAGATACCTGTGTGACTTTCTTATAACTAATGTATAATTTCCTTATTCCTCTACCTGTAGTTGACCTATAGGTGTAAAACCTATACAGATTTTAAATCCGATTAGTTTTAAAGACTTTCAGTCTAAGCTTTTACAATGATAGGACATCAAATTCTATTAAAACAAACGAATGGATACCACAGGTAAGTAGGCGGTTCGACAAGTACTTAGCCTCACCGCCCGATAGCGCCACTATCTCAAGAGACATCTACTATCGTGTAATACATTCTCATAGACAGCTAATGTCAAAATTTCAGCCAAATCGAACTCGTATTTTTGTTTTGACCGCATGTGAAAGATGGCGTGTCCGCAGATAAAAAAAATGGAATAAGAGCAATATCGGCCTGTGACTCGATTCTTGTTTTTGAAAGAAAAAATGGCGCAGCGAAATTAAAAAGCGCGTGGAGGCTGTGAACGGTGAATCTTCTCCTTCCACAGCAATCGTCAATGGGTTTCAACTTGGTCGCACGTCGGTTTTTGATAAGCAACACCTCGGTGCCCCGTAAATGACTAACACGGAGGATAACGTGACGAAAATCCACGATTTTGTATTGTCGTACTGCTGACTAAAGGTGAGCGTGATAGCGGAGACAGTAAGCATCTCAAAAAAACGCGTATGTCACATACTGCATAAAATTTTGAGCATAAAAATGATACCAAAGCGATGGATGCCGCATTTGTTTACTCCGGAAAATAAGCTCAACCGTGAGACCACTTCACAGAAGTATTTGACACTATTTAAGCCTAATTTAAAAAGTTTCTATGTGATAGCGTAACTGTTGACGAAATATGGATCCACGGATACACACCAGAGGTCATGGCACAGTCCAAACAATGGACGCCACCCGGAGAACGTACTCCGAAGAAGGTGAAGATTGTTCTAACGGCTGCAAATGTGATAGCCACTAGGTGATAGGTGATGCCACCATTTTCTGATAATCGGCTTTATACATCAACTACCTGAAGAAGGGCAAAAACAGTCACAGAGCTCTACTACGCCGAATTATTAGGCAAATTTGACGCCGAATAGCAGAAAAAACGACCCCAGTTGGCGAAGACAAAATTGCTCTGTCACCATGACAACGCACCGGCTTAGCCTGTAACGAAATATTTTGCCTACCACATAGGGTATTATTGTGGGATTTAACAATTGGGGACAGAAACTATTGAGGTAGAGATAGGGCAAACAAAACAAATCGAAACTTATGCGAACGGCACTCAGGTTTTATTTGGATAGCTGGGGTCGTGGATAAGTTGAATGGCAATAGGTCAGATTGGGGCAACTACAAAAAATTAAACAACGGAGTATATAAATACATAAGTCTCCTGGACAAATGGACAAAACAAAACACAAGAAAGACCTCTAGCAATT